TCCACGAGAGCTTGTTGTTGCTCTGGTGTGTGAGTGTGAGTGTGCGTGTGCGTGCAGGGAGTTAGTGCAGAAAGCGTTTCTTCATTGCAGGCTGCGGTGTGTGTGTGTTTTACTTCCCTTATCATGTGAGGCCTCAGCATGGTTGCCGTCTCCCCCTCACATGCAGCCTCCTCCCCCTCCGCCTCACGTCAATCGGAATGTGCGTTGCCACCCCTTCCTCGTCTGGCCAGTCCACGCCCCCATCCTCTACGAGGTGCATTTTGTGGACATTCTCTGTGCCAATGTCCTTGTTCGCCACAGCGGAAACACGTATCATAGTCATTGGGTGGAGACAGCTGTGATCCCTCCTGGTTCCAGGAGGAGCGTCCCCTCGTCATATCCCGACCACGCCCCCTGAATCCGCCCCGTTGGTTGGGATCCCGTGGGCGGTCGTTTCTGGCAAGTTGAGTGACAGCTTGGAGCATAGTCAGTTGGGCGAGTTCAATCTGACGTGAGCGCCTTTTCCCCTCGTGGTCAGTTCTCTCTATGTCCATGGATTGCGCATGCGCAGCATGTTTCTTTACATCCGCGAGTCGCGAGTCTTCCATTCCAGCCACAGAGCGCTGCACATTCATTTTTATGTCGGGTAATAGTCCATTCATGAAAGCATTCTTCAGGTGTGATTCCCACGTCCCCAGAGCGTCTCCTAACGCGGCGGGTTGTGGAATGCCACTGTTAAGATTAAACACTGTGAGAAGTCTTTGGTAGTAATCATGGACGGACTCACCCGCTGCCTGCTTGGTATTGTTGATGGGAGTCATATCCACTTTGTCAGGGAACAATGTCTTTATGCCGTCGCTCAAAGCCGTGAGTGCGTCTCTGTACGGCTTATTTTGATTTGAACTCCATTCAACATCGGCCGCACTGGTGTCTCCTGCAACCAGCTGGTTGAGCTTCTGGTAGTGAGTCGGACCCACGTGACTCATTAGAACACGTCGAATTTCAGCAAAGTTGGGCAGGAATTGCTTACAGAAGTCCATGAATGCTTCAGCAAACAGTCTTCCCGAGTGCTGTATCGGCGGGAGATGAGCCATTGCAGCTCTAATGTCCGTATCAGTCCAAGGCCGGAAAACAAGTATGGGACCTGAGTGTCCTGGTACTTGAATCATTGGGGTTTGGAGCACAGATTTTGCATCCGGGGGAACTCCCTCTGGGTCGAAAGAGAGGGAAAAAACATCTGATGTAGATGGTTGCTCTGCAATCAGTTTGTTGATGGCAGAAGTGTCCCCTCCGGTTGCTCCTGGGGAGCGAGAGCGAGTGGGGAGAGCAGCCTGTCTCTTTTCCTCCTCTTCGCCGAGGAGTCGTTCCTGTGCTGCTTTCACTGCCGCTTCCTTTTCCTCCCTCTGCCGGGTGTAGTGAACTTTTGGAGCTTGTGACCATGCAGACGAAGGTTGCTGGTTCGCAGATGAAGCAGGGTACGGTGGTGGGCATGTGTTGAGGAGAGGGCCGCCAGCCCCTGTGAGACTCGGATACAAGGGAGAAGAAGCACATCGGTCATTTTGTTCAATAACATTTGGATCTGGTTTTTCAACCAATGTGGTTTTTGCACATGTCAATTCTTTAGCCATTTGTTTCCTTTCTCTACATTCACATTCATCCTCCCACCATTTTAACCATTTACTTTGTTTCTCAATGTTCTCCAAGTCTTTGCCTTTTATCACCCTCTGAGATTTTATACCCTTCTCTTTTCCCTCTAAGCCTGTTCGTAACATGTTCAGTTTTATTCTACTGAAAGAACCATTTGCAGGGAACCCAAAATCTTTTGACCACTCGGGCAAAAACTCTAGAGATTGATCTCCATATTTCCTTCTCATCAGATCCACAATTGGTCCCTCCGGAGAACCCATTTCCTTTTTACCTTTACCGTGTACACCACCCATCTTTCAGGCGTGGTGAAGTATACTTTTTATTACTTAAAATATAGTCGTCATGATAAGTCTTGATTTTCTTTTACGTAGGAAAAATACAAGTTAAAACCCAACCAGAACTATTGGTTAATAAATATAGGTCAAGGGCTCAAATATCTGTTTTCAGATTACTGTCCGAAAATCCCGATATTGTTCCTGTCTTCCTGTTAGGTCAAGGGCTGAGATTTTGCGATTTCAGTGAACTCTCAAAATCCCTCCTATCTTCCCCTTCGGTCAAGGGTCACAATTGTCAATTGCCCCTGTCTTCCTCTTTGGTCAAGGGTCACAATTATGCGTTTTCAGAGTGTTAGTCTGAATACAATCGTAATACGCAAATTGCTCCCTGTCTTCCCCCTTTTGGTCAAGGGTCACACTTATGCGATTTTCAGATAGTTAGTCTGAATACAATCGTAAATGCGCACATTGCTCCCTGTCTTCCTCAGTAAAAAGTTGGATGCTGATGAACCGGAAATACTGTACAATTACTCTTATAATTTTATACACATTTTTCAAATAACCGGATAAAAAGACAAGTTATCATCATTAGAAGCCCAATCAAATAACCGAAATTTGGATTTTCTAAGAAGAGAGGAAAAAAAAAAATCCCAAAGTACTAAATACCCGTCTTTGTAATCTGTTACCACCCGTTATAATTCAGGAAGCCCCGTTTGAAAATCAGAATATCAACTTCTTACCCGATTCGTGTGAAAATCTTCCTCATCGGATCGTGTTGAAGCCAATCAGGTCTCTTTTGGTCGCCGGTCCCCTCTCTCTGAGTGTCATGAGGTATAGGGCAGAATCACGTTTGGTGGATCCTGAAGGGGCCCCTTCCCGGACGTCCTCGGAGTCCCGACGGAGCTTCAAACGATCCCACTTCTGACACCAAATTGTGGTGGAAGATTTTGCACAGACAATCGTTAAGTAAGAATCAAAGGCTCTGAGTCAAGTATGTCTTTTCTCCGTTTATTTCCTTGCAAGGGAAAAAGGGTCACAACAGCTACGTGGTCAGTAGACTGTCAAGAACCTCCTTTTTCTTCCCAACACATCGAGGCAGTTCTTATACCTAAACTTAGATATCGGTGGCGTCAACAGAAACCGTTAACCATCTTGTTGAGTATCTACAGTCAGGATACTGGGAACATCTTATCCATGTAAGACACGTCAGCTCTTTGACCGTGTCCCTGCTCTCCCAACATTCAAAAACAAAGGTGGTCATAGACATAACAAACACTTTGTTCAATCTCTACAGCTATGACGCTGGAAACATCTAATCCAAGTGGGAGACATCAGTTCTTATGTCAGGGCCTTTGTGACCTAAGCACTTGCAACTAATAAACTGGTTATACAAATGAAGCATTTAAAAGGGTCACATATCATTTTCCCATTACACTAGCCTTAACTTTTTTACTGTCATTCTTTTGGCAGTTTCAGACCCAAATACGTGAAGCTTCATTATTTCTGTGCCCACTATTGGCAGGTTTAAAGCTTGAGAAATATCGTCACGCATAAAGCTACGCTGACTCCCCCCATCTAACAAGGCTTTTTTGTGGCGGATCTACCCAAATGGTTGCCGTTTGTAACAGCACTGCTCTACCGTTACAATTACTTGGCGAAACTGAACATTGCGCTTGAGCAGTATCTACCTCTGTTCTAGTCTCTTGTGTTTGTGTTGACTGTTTGTTACAAACTGCTTTATGATGTCGTTTGCCACACTGTGCACATTCAATACCGCGCCTTGCAATTACGCGCAATGTGTCTGGGTCCTAGACATACAAAACATCTGCCTAATCGTCTCAACTTTTCTCTCCTGACATCTGCTATGGATTCGATACAGTCAGGAGATCTGTGATCAGGTTTACCACAAAACAAACAGTCACTGTCATTCGGACTCCATGTATGGAATGCTGCGGCTGAGGAGGCCATGTTTCCGGCACTGGGCCTTCTCGTCCTGCGCTCTCGTGCGCATTCCTTATCCATGCCAGCATTCTTCCTTTCATTCGGAGACACTTCTTTCTTTTGTGTGAGATTCACGGTTCTTTCTTTGCTTTCCACCTCTCTTTTCAGAAAGTCCATTTACTCCTTTGCTTTGAGAACATTATCGGCTTCTGGTTTTGTGAATGCAAGAGCAATATCTTCTGGAATCATTTTCAACAAGATAGGACATAATAAACTTCCATAGGTGTCCGCTACAACACCGAGTGCATCAAGGCTACGCACCTGTATCTCACAGTCATCATACAATTTGTGCAAGGCGCATTCATCAGTTGCTCGGCTTACAGGAGTCATGTTCAATAACTTATTCATATGAGCATTAATCACTAAATCTTTTCGGCCAAATCGGGTTTTAAGCAGATCAATGGCAGTGTCATAATTAATATTAGACAAAGTGAGGCCTGCTACTGCACCCGCGGCGGTGCTATCCAGAAATGATTTCAAAAAACTGAATTTATCAGTCTTGCTCAGACCTTCATTATCATGGATGGTTGTTTCATACTGACTCCAAAATCCTTGCCACTCACATATCTCCCCAGAAAACGTCTGAATGACTAATTTGGGAAGTTTGATTGTGTTTCGTCTAGGCCCAGATCCATGCTCACTCTGTCCGGACTGGCTTTCTGCATCTTCCTTGCGCAACGCGCAACTCTTGTTTTCCGCACACTTATTGCATCCATATACTCCAATGCTATAGTCATCTCATCTTCCAAATCCTCTTCTTCCGTTTCTGCTTCAACATCTTTATCATGTTCTCTGAGAGTCTGATCAAACAATTCTTTCAGTCTCTCAAAGCATGGTTCTTCTTTATCCAACTCACCATCGATCTTCTGGTTGAGCTTTGTTGTTGCAGTTCGGACTACTCCTCGCCTTATCCTCAGTTGCTTGAATTCCGTTGGATCCATGACTTGGATTTGAACTTTCCTCTGCAGCGTCTTTCAAACAATCCTTCACTCCAAGTCAATCTTCTCTTCTTATTCTTCATGGACTGGATCCTTGTGTTCCCGGGTTTCGGCACCAATTTGTTAAGTACAAGGAAAGATTCCAATAAGAAGAGGTTTCTGGTTTGCATGAAATCATTTTATTGTCTATTAACACAAGTGCGGGGAAAAGGCCTTTCGAGAACAAAGGCCTTGTGGAGTCTGTTTGTTCGCCCAACCCCCGCGACGCGTCACTGGTTCCTTTATCCTGGGTAATCCAGAGAGGCCACGCCCACTTCAATCAGGTATGTCCATACATGGAGACATACGTCACACCTGGTCAACTCCCCACTACCGTGGAAGCGTCTCCATTGGTAGAGCCAAACAATCTGCAATGACAGTAATTAGGGGCATGCAATATAGCCACAACAGTCTGAGCACTCTCCCAGATAGCTGACGGAATGAGGTGCGCAGAGAAGCCTGGGCTGATGCACTGCGTAGACTGCTGGAAAGAAGGCTCTTGGATCTTACCTCTTCTGAAACCCAGTGTGTTGAACTATTCTTAATCTATTCGATTCAAGCAAATACAAAACATATCAGTTACTGAAAAAACAACAACCTGAAATCCAATTTAAGGTCAATTTTGAATGGTAATGACAATTACGTCTTAAAGTCTGTGGTTACACAGACCTTTCATCTTTAATATTGAAATATCAACGAAATGAATTACAAGCACAGCTACAGTATTAACTCCAGGACATATCCATATGAAGAAAAAATAAAAAAATATGTACACAAGTTACAGGAAATCATTCAAGTTAAAACCCAATATGTGAGAATGGATTTAACAAGTCAGAATCCTAAGAATGAAATGCACCTGGCTTGGAAGTTGGTATTGACATATGTATACACACCTGATGCCATCCTCGTTATATACATGACATTCCAATGATACTGCAGAAAAAAACTGTTTGACTTGGTGGTCATTCCCTTGGAACACAAAGGGAACAGAAATAAGGACAATGAATGGTGGTTTTTCTCTGCTTTGATGAGACAAACTGTCTTGGCCTCCTCATTCAAACATGATGGGCATGACCTCCGAAGACTGGACATCCAAGACAACGAGCACACAACTCACAGGTGAAAAGGGAAAAAACACACGAGAACTAAGGCTGGATATGTGCTGGTTAAAGCCTTTTTTCTTACCATCTCAAAACGCTGATATCCTTAAGAAATCATCAGATGTTCGTATCAGCCACAATTTTAAACTTTTTTAATTTTTAATTTTACAGCAGTGCCACGGGTGTCCAGTGATGGCTTCATGTCCAAAAAAGTCCCAAATATGTGTTTTTTGCATAGTCTCAATGCGCTTTGTGTTTCCTTTTCTTATGTTTTTTGTCCTTCTTCTTACTGGCACATTTAACACAGAACCACTGCTGGTCCTCAGGGGGGGCGGCGGTGATCCCGACACAAGGCCTGAGCACACAGAAGAAGAAAGAAGACGGTTCAGGCAGGAGAAAAGAAGCCATTCCTACAATTGTCATTGAGTTTGGCACCTAACACTTTTTTTGTTTGATATTCCAAGTTAACTAAATTACTCCAGTCAAACAAGCGGAATACTTGCATTTGAATTGGAAAAACTGAAGCAGCAAATGTCCAACATTGTCTGAAGAGCCTATTTTCCTGCAGGGTACAATGACGCGGGGCAGAGCTGCGTGGATCGGAGGCTCTATGTGGCTGGAGACTGAAAACAACCAAACTAGCTGAACGGTTGGAACAACCTCACTTATGTTAATGTTCACGGAGCTTCAACGTATCGTTCTTTACAGGCGGATTCAGTCCGCTGTCATCTAATTGTTCACTGACCTACTCTGACTCTCCTACACTAAGAGCACAGAGGTGCATGTACAGCTGTGCTGCTGGATTCAATGATTGATTGAAGATGTTCATACATAGCATGCGGTTTCCATCTTTACATGTGCACACGTGCACATTTGAGAAATCTCTATTGGTGTTCACCTTTGTTTTGTTTCCATGAACCTTGGATTTAGGTTAAATTATCCCCGACCCTGCTTTACTTTTTTTTCTCTGACCAATGAGACATTTGACAAAAATAATAAAAATGTCCTGCGTTTCCTACCACGCGTTAACTATAATGTTACACAAAGACGCAAACCACGGTTCAAAGGGGGTCATTAGGAAAAAGTCTCTCACCAATGATACCAATCGTCACAGTCGTCACATCCTATCATGGGACTGCCGTCGTCCGGTTTGTTGCATCCAGGACAAATCCAGATCTGGTTTCCCCATTCATCTCGGATCTGAGTTGAGTGCATTAACAGAAACAAACGGTAACTCAATGGATTAGTGCAAATCGGGTGAAAAGAAAACATTTACTTTTTGCTTCATCTTTGTTGTAACTTTATTTACTGTTCACCTAGATTCAATGAGACCTCTTGAAAAGATGAAGCACCTGTACTCTTTATGCTCTTCGTGAAAAGTGTTAAGCACTAATTAGGATGGAACACTCACCACGTAGGTGCTGACGGTCTCCGTCACCACACTGCGGACCGGCGTTTTGAAGGAGGCGGTGGGAGAGAGCAGGGGGCCCGAGGGGAGCAACGATGGCGGGGCCGGAGCCGGTGGAAGCAGAGAGGGGGCCAGGGGCAGAATGGGCACGACCGGGGAGAGCACTGGGAGCAATGGGGGGGCCTGAGGGCGATTCCCAGGTCCCAACCTGGCGGCGGGGGGCTTGGGCTCTGAATTAGGAACCACCTTGCTGATGACACTGATAAGACAAATACTAGTCAACACAAATAGGAAACTTTTCAATCTCTGTATAAACTGTTTAATGAAAGAATGGAAACAAATGTCAGAATGATTCTAACCACTAACTGGGGGAAATATCGTAATAAAATCCTTGGGACATGTCTATAAATATATACTTGTTTCTAACATAAACATAACATGAGTTTTCTATACCAATGGAATATATCTAAATAAACACACCGTACATATTTGATATTTTCTGTATTAAAACACTATTTTTAAAAGTAAAAACCTGGCTTTTACTAAAAACACCTTTTTACTATGTGAGAAAAGCAGCCACTCTTTTTTCAAAATGTTAACAATAATTATGTCTTATTAAAGTCTATTTTTCTTTTAAATCAGGAACTTTCCCAACCAAAAAGGGGAAATAAGACTAGGAATATGGGAAGGCATTTGATGGAAGCTTTGTGAAGAGTTTTTTATACTGCTACAACCATCAACATAATAAAAGCGGCATAATCCTACAGAAGGTTGATAATAATACACCCATCTAAGTTTTGTTTCCGATAGAGGAAGAAAAAGAAAACCTCATGTAACATGTTAGGAAACGTACATCTTGTCCTGGCCTGCTCCCACCCGCAGCGTCAGTCTGGGGATGACCGGAGATGGTAAAGCTGCCGGAGTGTCTGCTTTCACCTGAGCAAACGGAGGACGGGGTATTCATGAGTGACACTCTAACGGGGTTACGTAATGACATAGCAAACAAAAAAAAATTACCTTCTCCAATCGAATTCTCTCTTTTTCTTTCTCCTTTTCCCGTTTTTCCTTTTCCCTCTCCTTTTCTTTCCTCTTCTCTTCTTTCTCCCTCTCCTTTTCTTTGGCCTTTTCTCGCTCCTTCTCCTTGTCTTTCTTTTTCTTCTTCTCCTTCTTGTCTTTCTTCTTGTCCTTCTCCTTGTTCTTCACATCCTTATCCTGGAGGATGGGGGCCAGAGACGGGAGCATGGAGGGGAGGCGCAGGCAGGCGGAAGGGCTGAACAGAGGTGCCATTTCACTCAACACGGATGCCTTCAGTCGGTCTTCCTTGCTCCTGTCTTTACCCTTGTCCCTCTTGTCTTTGTTCTTTTTACTTTTTTCTTTATCTTTCTTTTTGTCTTTGTGTTTCTCCTTCTTAGGGCCGTCTCCATCTCGGGTTTTTATCTTGATGGAGCCCTCGGGCAGAGTGAAGTCACGTATTAGGAAGTGCTCGTCGTCCTTCACTCCAAACTCCTTCCAGGGCATCTTGGCATCCTTGGGAAAGTCCTTGTTTTTGTCCCTGTTCTTGTCCCTGTTTTTCTCTTTCAGCTTGCCCCTGTCCTTTTCCCGGTCTTTGTCTTTCGGCTTGTCGTTCTCCTTCTTCTTCATTTTAGTTTTGAGTTCCTTCTTCAGCTTTTTCTTGATATCCACCGGAGGCACAATCTTGTTCTTCTCCTCAAACATCTTGAGCAGAGGTTCAGGGGTGGGCGGCGAGGCCGATCCCGAGGACACGTAGTCTGCTATGCTTGCCGGTGGTGCGGAAGGACCCCCCTGGTTGACTTTCCGGATCACCTCGTTGATTGAATCATCCATAGTCCAGTTTCCCAGGCCTGCGTGTGCCTGTAGGTGCAGTGGTGTTGACGTGTCATTTACGGAGATCCCGATGGAGAGTTTCGGCGTCGGCGGCTCCATGATGGTCAGCCTCTTGGGGCTGGAGAATCCATTGCTGTCCGAATCAGAACCCGAGCAGAAAGCGAACGGATCCGGCTCCCGCTCAGCACACGCTCTGGCAATCACAGCATCAATGGAATCATCAATGGCTGCATTATCAGGCTCTATTTTCTTGAAGGGGCCCTCAGCCAACTCCCTGTCTTCTATATTTTGACGCATGTGGATGTTCTCTTTGCCCATCCTCTCGTTCAGCGTGCACAGCGGGAGCTTAAGCATCCTATCCGTCTTGTTCTGGGGTTGGGATGCTTTAGCTGAAACCATCTTTGGGCTCTTTGGGCTTTTAGGACTCTTTGCTCTCCCGGGAGATTTCTTTTTTTCCTTGGGCGGTTTTGGAGGATGGCTGGGACTGCCACCCACCGGAACAGGAATGACCCCCTTAGGGGACTTAGTCCGTTGTCTGCCAGGCGATGAAACCTTAGACTTTCTTCCTGGAGTGGTAAGGCCCTTTTGATCAGAGTGTTTTGGTACCACCGGCTGAGGTCTGAAGGGGGGCAGGGCTCCAGCAGGTGTTTCGGGTGACAGGGGGTCAAGGCTATCATGAGTAGGCAGCACGCCTGGGGGAACACGTTGAGGGTTGAGAGAGGTGAGGGGCTCCCTGGGCTCAACCCCCCATTCTGGGCTGAGGCCAGGGTACATGCGTGGTCTCTTGGAGGTAGGCATCATGCCCAGAGCCGCATCAGGACTGTCCAAGTGCCTCTTCAGTGGGTGGTTCTCGTCGTTGACAGTCTCATCCTCGTCCACTTCTTCCTCATCGTCCTCCAGAGCCACCTGCATAGCTTCGGCCGAAGTGCCCATGTCAGCGAGGGCCGCCTCCTCCTCCTCCTCTTCTAGTGGGGAAAAGGACAAAAACACGAGTTGAGTACTGTTTTTTTACATTACATTACAGATCATAGAGCTGACCCTTTTATCCAAAGCGACTTGCATTGCATTTTTTTAACCCATGGCTTTTTATATTTTTGCCCAGGGAGCAATTAATGGTGAGGTGTCTTGCTCAGGGACACTCCAACCTCCAACCTTGCGGTCCCCAGCGCACCCTGTCTAGCCCTGCGCCACGTCAACGCGATATTTTAATAAATATACATTCATTCGTACAATCACAACACCTCATTTGACACATACAGGTTATTATTGGGTGGGCCAAGCGACATCTAGAGTCCAATACAAGGCATAACCGTCACAATGTTTGGATATTTTTTAGATTCATCTTAAATGTTTTGATATGACATTGGTGTTAAATGGAGATGGTAACATTTGGGGAAAAACAAAAACGATAACCATCATGAACTTTGGATAAATTGCTTCCAATACTACTGACTACTACTACTGAATGTGAGTGTTTGATTCACATTATATCCTACAAACTGTGGGCTGGTTAAGAACATATTGTCTACCAAAAATGAACTGTCCCCACTAATGGAAAACAAAAAATACACACACTCGGAGATTTCCATATAGTCATATATGTGCTGACCTTCTTGCAGGGAGACCAGGGGTGGCATGTGATCTGGAATGTAATCCTTCCTTTCCTCTGCATCTCGGGCTCCAGGCTGGGGAAACTGCAGGACGTTGTTTTTGCTGACAGGAAAGACGGGTGTTTGTTGGGCGAAGGCCACGGGTTCCAGGTTGTGGACGTAGTCCTCCAGTTCACTCAGACTCACCCCCAAGAGTCTGAAGGCCTGGCTGACATCATCCAGGACTGGATCCGTCCGTCCATCTGAAACACAACAACAAGCCTTTTAAACCTCAATACAAGCCTCGAACCTCGAACTAAAGTATACTGCTGGAGGTAAGCCAACTGATTCTACTGTGAATCAGTGACGCTCAACAGGTATTTGTATAAAGCATAGTGGAATAGTTTTTCCAATAACAACATATGTAGTATTAAGCATGCAACATCGACTAACCACATGTTGTGACCACATCTGGAAGGAATCACAGTCACAATTACATCAGCCTTGCGGGGGCTACCTAGCCATGTAGCTACTGTACTTTTGACACATCAACCTTTGCTAGGGGGCGCCAGCTTCAGACACAGTCAACAACAACGTGATCGACTGCTTCAAGTTTACGGTTTGGAAAAAAAGTAATCGGGATTCTAAACGAAGCACTTACAGAGCTCAGAGTACCGATGGCAGACCCTGGCCAACTGCTGGATATACCGATGCAGCACATCGGACAGCTGATCGCACGCAGTGAGCTGAATCGCATCCCAGCCCAGAGCCTGGCAGATCTGCGCCACCGAAACACGCAGCAGCGAGCGGGCATAGCTCTCGCACATCTCGCTGATTTCGTTACGGTATAAATCCCGGTCAGTTCCTCTCCCAAAACATGATCCCTGCCTTCACGGAACCCCTCGGGGGCTTGAGAATACACGCTACCGCGGTTAATTTTGGACATTTACTTCAGTAAATATATTGGCGCTTTCGCCAGAGTCGCCATCTTGATTCCATCGATAGACCCATCCTCAAAATCTAAACTGCACATGCGCACAAATCAGCGAGTGCCGACAGAGCGCCGCTGTGTTCGAGGGCTTCGTCGAGCGCTGAAGATGTGCAGCAACTCCGTTTGAGGAAGTGTTAGCGTTCTTTCGAATTATTAATATGTGACACAGACTACTGTGGAATGCCGTTTTAGTCAAAATTAAATAAATGAATAAATAAATAAATACATGAAATATGCATTTGAAATCGGTCGGCTCCGAGGTAGCATGCTAGCATTAGCAGATCAAATCAAAGCTTCTGTGGATGGTGGTTCTATCTGATGGTGGTGGTCCCTGCAGTGGTCCTGCTGTGCGCCTGGCTTACTACTCACAATTACTTGAATCATTTCTGTCATAGGAATTGCATGTATTATATATTGTTCATTCTGTACACATGGCATCCATTGTAGTCTGTCCATCCTGGGAGTGGGATCCCTCCTCTGACGTTCTCCCTAAGGTTTCTTCCCTTTTTTCCCTCTTGGAAGGGTTTTTTTCATTTTTTGGGGAGTTTTTCCTGTGCTGATGGTGGGTTTCGGGACAGAGGATGTCGTATGTGTACAGACTGTAAAGCCCTCTGTGGCAGGAACACGCGTTTCCCTGATTTCTTAGAGTATATTATGCTCATGCTGAAACTATGTTTGGAATTGATTTTCATATCATTTCCGGTTGTTGGTGTGCCGTGAGATTTTTTCTGTGTCTTAAGTGTGCCTTGACGCAAAAAAGGTTGAAAAACACTGGGGTAGAGAACCGCACCTCCTCAACCCTCATCCTGAACACCGGCGTGCCACAGGGCTGTGTGCTCTCCAAACACGTCTAACGTAATAAAGTCCTCTCCTCTACTCCCTCTTCACCTATGACTGCACACCTGTACACGGTTCTAATACCATTGTTAAGTTTGAAGACGACACAACGGTGATTGGCCTCATCAGTGATAACGATGAGTCGGCCTACAGAGAGGAGGTCCAGCACCTGGCGGTGTGGTGCGCCGACAACAACCTGGCCCTCAACACCAAGAAGACCAAAGAGCTAATTGTGGACTTCCGGAAAACTGGCACATACATCCCCATCCATATCAACGGGACGGAGGTTGAGCGTGTCGCCAGCTTCAAGTTCCTGGGTGTCTGCGGAGGGCACGCAGCATCGAAAAGGACAGCTCTCACCCCAGCCACAGACTGTTTGCCCTCCTCCCCTCTGGGAGGCGCTACAGGGTGCTCCGTTCCCGGACCAGCAGGTTCAGGAACAGCTTCATCCCTGCGGCTGTCTCTCTACTGAACTCTGCCCCCCCAGAACTCTGAACTGAGCTTTAAACAAAGACAAAGGACATCTAAAATAAGAAAGCTATCTACACCATGAATGAAATGAGTAAACATTTCCCACGGACATTAAAAAAAAACACGTTACCTTCTTTTAATCCTCCATTTCTCTGAGGATTACCCACAATCCTTCCTTTTTACGGCCCGTTTGTGTACCACTTTGTGGCAGTAGATGGCGTAGTTCAGCCAATTTAAAAGGGTTTTAGCCATCCATTCTAACTATGTTACACGAAGAACAGATATTGTGAATTGTTAATTCAACAGAACCAGAACCAGAACCTAGGCGTGCGAAATAACCTTGTACACATAAGAGAAAGATACTGGATAATGAGAGGGAGTCAGCTAGTTAAGTGCCGTGTGTGCAGATTCAAGGCAAAGCCTGCGCAGGAGATTACTGCTCCGCTGCCCCGTGACAGAATCACAGAATCCCCTCCACTTGAAGTCACCGGTGTGGACTTTGCTGGTCCGCTATATGTCAAGGTTAGTGGTGCACTGACCATGGCCTACATCACATAGTTCACCTGCGCTGTGACCAGAGCAATCCATCTGGAGCTTGTCTCCAGTCAGTCGACAGAGCATTTCCTGTTGGCTTTAAAAAGATTTATCGCCAGAAGGGGAGTGTGTAAGGTGATTTATTCAGATAACACAAAGAAATTCAAGCGTGCTGACCAAGACCTGAAATAACTGTGGAGAAGCATTAAAGATCCACAGCTCCTAGAAGACTTCTCACAAAAGCTGTATAAGCTGGCGATTTATTGCTGAACGAGCCGCCTGGTGGCGTGGTTTCTGGGAACGACTCGTCAGGTCAGTGAAAACCTGCCTGAGGAAGGTGTTAGGACGAGCTTCCCTCAGCTTTGAAGAACTGACCACCATCCTCACAGAGGTGGAAGCGACCCTGAACTCCAGACAACTTACCTTTGTCAATAATGACCCAGATGAGCCGCAGCCACTTACACCTGACACCTGTTCTTGTGGGAAAAAGACTCACCTCGCGCAAAAATGTAAAACGCCATGGGTTAATAATGCAATGTAAGTTGCTTTGGATAAAAGCGTCAGCTAAATGACCCGTATTAAATTCATTTTAAAAAATGTTGGAAATTTAGATGTATTATTTTTGTTAAATAACTACTGCTATCCAACTGAATCGAACTGTGCTCCGCAAATCGGCATTCCGGACGACATATATCGATTACAAATCGATTGAAATGGTATATAATCGATTTGTATCGATACATGGAAACTGCACATTGGATTTAAGAACAAAAACGGTATTGATGCGTGTTTGTTTGTTGGTTTTTTAGAACTTTAGACACGTTAAACGTTACTCGATTCAGTCTGCCTGTCTGTGACGTCATCAGTACGCAGCGGCAGCCGCGCAAAACTCTGAACAACAACAAAACACAGCGTGGAGGAGACGACTGCGAGCGAGACATTTACAAACCAACTTATCGATCCAGCGCGTGGAAACATTTTGGCTTTTGCAAACACGGAGGTGTTCTAAATAAGTCGGTCGCTGTTTGTAGAATATGTAGAAGCCAAATAAAAAACCACGGAAACGAGACGAATCTTTCCAGGCATCTACTAAGGCGCCGTGGGATTAAACAACGCCGACAGTCAGGACCTCTAGCAGCGGAAGAAGGTAACTCCAGCTCTGCAGACACCTCAGGCCTCGCCAGCACCAAACTCAGCATCACAGTAACAATTGCCAAGTTTATCTGTAAAGACATGCGACCCTACAATGAGGTTGAAAATTCGGGGTTCTGTAAATTGATCCAAACATTGTGTAATTATTGTGTAATGTTTACATTGAAAATGGCACCTGATTCAAATAAAAGGTTAATACATTTGCCATTAATTGTTGTTTGCTTGTTTATAATATCCATAATTAATTTAAACCTGATTTTCTTACAAGAAACAACAGGGATCTCAGCACTGCCTGCACTGTCCAGTAAAGTTACTGAATCGATTTCAAGTCACTGAATCGAATCGAATCGTTCTAAATTAATCCAGATCGTCCATGAATCAAATCGGCAACCATGAATCGCGATTCGAATCGAATCGTTGTTAAAATGAATCGTTACACCCCTAATAACTACATTTCCCATGGTGCATCGCGAGCGAGCACGCCTCTGGGGTTTTCTGTATATAATATATAGACGCCGCATTGGCTTCTTGTCGCGAGAAATACGGCCGCCATCTTGGAGCGGTCGTGCTCGTAGTTGCGTAGCAGCAGAAGATGCAGGAGGCCACAGCACTGTGCTGCTTATTTCTGCGCTAATCGGCGGACCATCGCCAGCAGGGCTCGGGGGATAACCTTTCACAAGTAAGATTTAATATTACCGTCCTATTTGTTGTGTTTTGTGAAAAGAATATTACCAGAGAGTAGAGAAGGAGCAAGTATCTTACTGCAGTGAAATCGCAGTCAGCTAGCTTGGCTATGTTTACTTCCCCGGCTGTTTTTCACATGATTATGAACTGAGACTTGATAAGTCATATTCCATAACACTTAGATTCAAACGGACACAATAATGTTATTGTAGAAATATAACCTATTACTGGTATAACATTGGCCACACAACTTTCTTGTCATGTGGAATTAACGCATCTTAAAGTAGCTTGCTATGTAGTGAACTAGCCTACTGCTGTGTTTGTGATACTTAGCTTGCTGCATTTCACTGTGTAGTAGCTTTTGTGTAGTGAAGCTTTATTTGATTTATCTTCTTTCTTTTTTTAAATATTTAAATATTTGTATATTACGGTTGCTTTGTTTTGTCTGTTATGTAAAGGGTCTTTGAGCACTGTGTAAAGTGCTATATAAATATGTATTCTTTTTTAATTATTATTATAAGGTGCTGAGAGCTGCAGAGAGGGTGATCCGCCGAGCTTCAACAACACAAGCTCCTAAGGTGTCGACAGTCACACACATCGTCCGAGAGGAGATTAGAACGGATGATGTTTTTTTGCTCGGGGAAGAGACACAGTTTGGCATCGACAACCATCATTCAGACTTGTTGTCATTGGTTGTGTCTGTGTTTCTCAAGCTAAGGCTGCACCACATTGCCAAACTCACCACTCTGGAACTGCAAAAAGGGAGCACGAGAAAGAAGCTCTGCAAGACAGTCCTATTCCAGGGGTTTTAGTGTGTGTGTGTGTGTGTGTGTGTGATAGTTAGTTAGTTAGACCCTCTTTGGTGCAAACACCCGGCGTTCTGTTGAAGATATTTGTGTGTGCTTGCAAATATTCAATTCATTTTATTTCTAATTCTATATTGTTTTTTAACGTATTAAATGTCTGACTTTACTACTACTATCTGTTTCTGCTTCTCTATCAAAATTATAGTGTGTGATTTGCAAAATATCTATCATAGTCTACATCACATCATATATCAGAATATAACATTACCGTTAAGTCCACAATGAATATTAAAACACGCCGAACTATGTGCCCTGTGTCATAGCTGCATGTATGACCTTTGCAGCAAAAACAACACGTGAAAATCAGTTGGGTATTCAGTGAGGTATGATTAATTGAATGCGCTCACAGCTGATTGCACCTGCAAACAGATTACACTGAGCAGAGCGGAGGACCGTTCCAAGTTGGCGGCTGCATTTCTCGTCAGTGCCAATAGGCGGTAGCGGCCAATGCGGCGTCTATGTATATTATGTCTATGGTTTAGCGCGTCGGGTTTTTTCGATACCGGTCCTAACCCGATACTTTTAAAATGATACCGGTGCCTAAACGGTGCCTGAACCGATACTTCTTTCGAGAAAGAAAATGAACTGTTTACAGTTTAATTAGTGTTTACATTGCATTACAGGTCATTTAGCTGACGCTTTTATCCAAAGCGACTTACATTACATTTTTATCCCGTGGATTTTTACATTTTGGTCGGGGAGCAATTAGAGGTCCTCTAATTGCTCCCCGACCAAAATGTAAAAATCCACGGGATAAAAATGAGCCTGTCTTGCTCAGGCACACTTTTGACATGGAACATGGGACAGTCAGGACTCGAACACCTTTTGCTTCTCAGAACACCCTCTCTACCCCTGCACCGCGACGACCCCTCGTCTTTACCATGGTGTTTACCATCTTCAAGAGCCAAAAGTGTATATATTGGTTCTTTTGAATTTGAAGAATAGTAAATTCGTTATTTGATTTTAGATCTATGCTCATTGTGCGGGAACTAAAGATATGTAACATATTGGAAAGCATCTACGTAGATTGACGCTCCTTGTTTGTCACGTTTTATTGACGTCATAATTGCAGGTGCAACAGGAAAAGCTGCATTAAGCACGAGAGCATATAGTTGTTGTACTGTGTGATAGAATTTATTATTTATTTATTTAGTAAACACTTTGCAGCGTAAAAAAGAAAATAATCAGGCGATCTCCTGTCATTCGTGTGGGGAAGTGAAGTCACGTGTCTGCAGCTCAATGCGCAACATCACCGAAGGAACAACGCTACATGCTCGGATTAATACTTCGGTGGGGGCGCGGATCGTCCGACGGGACGGGAGAGGCCGGTTTTTGGTGGGGTTAGCCAATCAGTTCAGTAAACATCTGTGTTTGTTTGGACGTCTCTGTGTGTGTTACCGACGAAGCTCGGTTGTGTAGCGTTAACGTTAAGTGAATGGGCGACGTTATTTAACTGATCAGTCATAGAATGAATGGAAACCTAGTATAGGCCTCTAACCGGTTGGGGATAAACGTATAGCAATTTATAGACTGTATACGTAATGCACTGTGTATAACGCGCTAGCAGAGTTAAGTCCACAAGGCCTGATGGAACCAGAGGAGTGTTACCAGCAGTAATTGAGTGGAAGAGGTTCGCGTTGTAATGGCGGTTCTTCGTTGTCTCCGTAAGCTCTTTTAGACTCTGTTAGGCGGCACAATAAATTAAAATATGACCTAGACGACGCCAATGAGGCTAGATAACCAAAAAATAAATAAATAAATTTGGAACTTGTGAGGACAGAGCCACGCGCCGTAGTTGCCAAGAACTGACTAAAATTTTGCGGATAATTAAGTGCAGGGATAAATAGACCTAAAATAATAAGAGATAAGAGATAAGATAAGAAATAGGTCATCATATAACTCGCCTTGCAGGTGAGGACAGAGTCACGGACCAGCGCGCCAAGACCCTGAAGGCTGGAAGTTACAATTTAAATTCGAAAAGGGTGAGGATAGTGCCACAGCCGTCTGCCAAGACCCGAAAATAATAAATTACTGGATACATTTTTACAATAAATATAGATCAGTTGAAAACGTTGCAAACTTGTATATAATTGTATGTTGCATGTTGCGAAAAGAATGAAGCCGGATTAAGGATTTGATTGGGGCCTGGTCTTGGGGAAAACGGAGCACATGTTTTTGGAACATTACAGGATGGCGGGCGGAGATAAATAGAGAAAACAGTTAAAAGATGGCTGAGAAAGAAATTCTCAGCACGGTCTACAGAGGGGACAACAATGACTTGTTATCCACCACTACTGGGGGTGGAGAACATGTGCTTTGGAGATTTCCAAAATGGCAGCCGGCGACAGTTAAAAGAAGAAAGTTGCACCAGATGTAACAGTTTCTGTATTTCCCACCTCCACTCTGTATTCCCATTAAACAGTGTCTCCCCTTGTCTCCATTTCCAAATGATCCTAACATTTTTTTTCTTCCTCCATTCTTAGGACCAAGTGATTTTTGCTTGCATTACAAACGGTCTGTGGACTTTTTCTAGGCTCTATGTGATTCTTTGTTTTAACGTTTATGTAATTGTTCTCTGCTTACATTAACACAATTTTCCCATTTATTGTTTAAACATTTTTACAAATTACTGAGTTTAAGAGAGACTCTAATCAGAGTCTGCAACACATCACACACAGACACAGCAGCACACCTGAAGATGCACATTAACATGTACATTAGCACACACACCCATGGGTCTTGGGCAAGAGACAAAGGACAGGACGCTGTCTGTGGAGCCGGTCTGGTAAGACAAAAGGGAGTCGTTCCGAGAGAGGTGCGACCCATAGGGACGTAGAGACGGTCAACAGTCCAGTGGGTGAATATATGTAAATAGTTAGCACAGAGGGAGACGTTTAAATGAGTGGGAAATAATGTGATTTGAGCCTAATCTGTAGACCTTGTTGTAAATAATTTGTTATTTTCTCTTAAACTTAGGCTGCAAGTTGTTGAGTGTGGATATGAGATGTACAGTGACGGAAGCAAATTTTTAGATCATAGGGCAGTACAGAAACTTTGTTACAAACCATCATCCTGTAATGATTTTATCAACAAACCATACACACATGTAACTACATATGATATATTGATATCATTTTCATTAGGAATAAATGAATGTTCTAGGTCACTAACAAACCATGAGTTGAGTTTTGAGTTCACAGGTAGAGAACGCAAGTAAGCTGCCCTGACGACTGAGGATGCAAGAATGCAAGTCCAATTGTGATGGAAAGTCACAAGACAATGGAAGAGCTCGCCAGCCAGCGTCGGACTTTGAGACAATGCAAAGAAGTCTGAAGCTGACCTGATGCTGATTATGATACATTTATTTTGAGACATGTGTTAAAATAACACATGCCTCAACAGGAGGGATGTAGATATAGAAATATTTTTCCAAATTGAACGATGGGAAAACTTAACAAAAGAAGAGAACCAACACACACACACACACACACACACACACGTAGGCACCCCATTGTGCTTCTCTATTCAACAGCTGACCAGGGAATCCTGATCTTCCAACACCTCGGATCCCCCGATCAGTCTGGTCACAGGACCTGCGAGATTCTCAGGATCAAGAAGAGAGTGGATCTCAATCACACGTCAATGACGACCACTACGCGTCGCCTGACCAAGCCTTTGATAACAAGAGGAAGTATACACTCAACCATAATCCCACAAACACTCTAGTTTTTGCACAAGTTATTACCACACAACTTTCAGATTAAGAAAAGGGACAGAAACCCCTCATTTAAATCCATGCTAAAAATGATTGAGATATACAAGCAAATACACACGGTTGATATTATTGTGAGAACAAGAGATCAAGGTTCATGATTCATAATGTCCAAACATTTCCCTGATATAGAACTATACAGTGAATAGACATATTCACATTGAACATCTGGTCGGACGGTGAAAGAGATTCACCTTTCCGTTGAGTTGTACTTATTAAGATAACAGTATTGTCCCGATTAAACAAAACATAACTATAGACACAGTGGACAACAGACAGGAATGCATCACCAATAATTGATAAACGACATTAACCTAAAATCCACATCAGTAGAATGGAAGCTATGGGAATACCTGGGGGGTGTCAAATGAGTTTCAAGTCACACACAGGATCTAGAAGACGCACCTCTACCCCTGCTGGAGCAGAGAGGGATGACACAGAAGAGGAGAGACCACCTGTCAACAACCTGAGTGGCGCCAAAGGAACCGTGAGCAGTGACCAACAACCGTCATCTCGCTGAGAGGAAGGACTTCCTCAGCCCAAAGTCTGCTTGACCACCGTGCAGGACCAGGAGGAAGCAGCAGAACCAGCACCACAGAGCCGGACCAGAAGCAAGACAAGCATCGTTCTAGGAGAACCAGAAGCAAGACTAGGACCGATTCAGAAAGGGTCCCAGCGAATCTCCCGGTCTCCCTTTTGAGGGACAGCACAGTTCCAAGACCACCTCACACTAATGGGGGACAACGACAGCCCAGCACAACTTCAGACCCACGGGTCACATCAGAGCCATCGATTTCCGGTACAGACACTCCCAAGTTCCCAAGCCCCTCTACAAACACTGCCCCATGGACAACAACAACCATTGAGCATGAGAGATCCTGAAATGGTCGAGAAGACACCCTCACACACAACTGGAGGTGAACCACTGCTGAAAGCTCTCACTGAAGAACCAGCAGAGAACAGTGACATGGACAACCGCTTCTCAGGTTTATTGGACTCATGATTTAGTAAATACAAACAATTGTTTATTTTTGTGATAACAGTCTCCATTATGGCCAGCATTCTATTCCTAGGTGGATGCTGTTGCATCCTCTGCATTAGGACTCTTATTATTAGAGTCATAACCACCGCACCCATTCAAGAAGACCAGCCCCATGATGCTATTAGGTTTTATTAAATGAATGTGTCCTGTGTCAATTTACACTGTACACATGACATCCGTGATGAAATGTTAAATCCTGGGAGAAGATCTTTCAATCTCTCCGACAGATTTCTTCCTCGTTTTATTCCCAAAAAGGGTTTTCGAGGGAGTTTTTGTTCTGTGCCAGGTACAAGTTAACA